AGGCGCGTATACACATATACATCTCATTTCAATTGGCCGGGTTGACCAAATGACCTTTCCTAGTTAGTTCCATTTATAAGGAGCGAAAAGGTGGAAACACGATATAGTTGTTCCCCTGCCAAACATGGACCGCGGTGAACTCTAGGAACTACCGTACAGCCAGCATGGCCTCCTATCAGGTCCATCAAAATGTACGCGCCGTTTTTGTACACCGATTTCTCTTTGTTTAATAGGTAGATTCTTTCGCAAATGTTAGCGCAGAGCAATCTTGCAGAAGAAAGTAAGCCCTTTTACTTCCATGTGGAAATTTGAGGTACCGAGAGGTTTCGTCGTTGTAGCCTCTCTGGAATGGTAGCTCAAGAAGATGTGATCTCTAAGGGTCCCATGCAGGGTGAATAACGGTCGAGGAATTCCTCGACCATCGCTCTCTGCTGTGCGAGAGTAGAGCCGATAGTGAATGTACGCGCGGAGAGCACAGACGGCTCGCGGGTGGCGAGAGTGAATATCCGCGCGCGAGAACGTAAAGGATCAGGCGAAAATCCTCGACGACGACGTGCCGTTGAGGAACCCTGTTGTCACCCTGGTCCCATGTTCTCCCGCCGGGCAGCTGCAAGCGGTGTACCTTTTTGAAGGCAAGATTCAAGATTGAACTGATGCTGTTTTGGGGCATCACTCCCAAATATATGTTTGGGTGGTTCTCTTGAATTCATCAACTCTTCATATACTTATTTATTCCACAATCGTACTAACAAACCTAAATCGCAACTATGTTACATAACCGAGCTTAGAGCAGGGAATTTGAGTTTAAGGTTTGAACTTTGAATGTCGTTGAAGACCTTGAATTTCTTGAACCTGTAATTACAGTAATGGAGCTGGAGGAGGGTAATAACGCTTCGAATAAGGACCTCCTCTATAGCTGCACTACACTTCGGGGTAGAGGAGGGGCGTGTTAGACGAGTTTCACGAAACTAGCGCCAGTTGCTCCAGTGCCATGACAGTGAACCGCGACGCAAGAGTTGCCGCAACTGTTCCCGCGTTTATCTCTCAAAGTCACGTGGAGCAGACGCGCGGAGGCGGGACTTGCGGACAAAGGTGTAGATTGCCGGTGCGGCTTCTAGCGCCTTTGTCGCGTACTTCCAAACCGCAAGGGGGCGACAACAACCCTCGTCAGACTGTCCATTGCACACAGCTATGGAGCAGGTGAACTTGCCGTGCCTTTATTGACTATCGGAATCGACTCATCGTGGTCAACTTTGGAATGAGAGTAGATCTAACTGAGAAAAAACACAAAACCAACAGTTCGTTCCAGTTTCTAGGTCCATGGACTGGCCCTTTGTACAGTGATGTGGGTGGCCTCCTGTAAATGGGGAATAGCGCCATGGAAAAGTTTTTTACGTCACAGAGGGCTCCTCAAAAAGCGAGTGTAACTGCCTCTGTGCATTGGTGAGTTTTTTTACGGAGGTGAAAGAAGAAGCGTTACTTCAACAACGATTACTAGGTGATTTTCTGAGGGACTGATTTTCTTGATTAACAAACACTACACATTAAGCACTTGAAGGCAGGGATAGCCGAGTGGTTAAGAGGTTAGGCTCATGTCTGCACCTCCAAAAACCGCGAGTTCGATCCCTGCCGAGGCTAACCATGCCTTGCAAAAATTGCAAAAATGGTTCTAGTACCAGCGTCAGGCCCAGGTTGACAGGCCGGCTGATGAACACCCCAGTCACACCAAACATGTCTAAAAGTCGCAAAAGAATCAGTGTTAATGCTAGGACGTCACCCGGAAGTGGCGCGCAGAACCCCCGCCCGAGTTCTGTGGTCAGTATGCGAGGGCTACCGAGGAGTGAACGGCCTCGGCCAAAGAAGCTAGTTCGAATTGGGACTCTGAACGTGGGATCGCTAACTGGAAAGTCCCGGGAGGTTGCTGACCTGATGACGCGCAGGAATATCCAGGTGCTATGCCTTCAGGAGACGCGATGGAAAGGTGCTAAGGCCAGGGAAATCGGGGAAGGTGTCAAACTCTACTACAATGGGGAAGACACCAAGCGGAACGGTGTGGCCATAGCGGTAGCGGAGTCGCTCAAGGACTATGTCTCCGCTGTGAACAGGATCAGCGATCGGATCATGGCTGTGAGGATAGACACGAAGGAGGGGTACTGGACCATACTCTCTGTGTACGCACCGCAAGCCGGATGCCCCGAAAGTGACAAGGACGAGTTCTATCTCAGCCTTGACGATGCCATCAGAACGATTCCGGAAGGTGACTACCTCACCATAGCAGGTGATCTGAATGGTCACGTAGGCAGTGAAAGAAGAGGCCTGGAAAGGGTGCACGGAGGTAGAGGAATAGGAGTGAGGAACGCCGAGGGAGAGAGGGTCCTGGACCTGGCTACGGCCCACGATCTGGCAGTCTGCAGCACGTTCTTCGCGAAAAGGGAGACTCATAAGGTCACCTACAGCAGTGGAGGACGACAAACGGAAATAGACCATGTGCTGGTAAAAATCATCCCTCAGAACTGTGAAGGACGTCAAGGTACTCCCTGGCGAGGAGCTGGCTTCCCAGCACAAGCCACTCCTGGCAGACATAGCCATGGAGCTCCCCAAGAAGACAAAGGTAAGAACCGAGAAGAGAATAAGGTGGTGGAAGTTGCACCGTGCAGAGAAGAGTGACCTCAAGCGAAGGATAATGGAAGTTGGTCTCCCAGATCCTGAGGGACCAGTGCAGCAGACTTGGGGCAATGCAGCTGAGATCATCCTACGATGCGCCAAGGAGGTACTGGGAGAGACGCGAGGTGGATTCAGAGGAGACAAGGCAGCGTGGTTCTGGAACGAGGAGGTCCAGCGAGTCGTGAAACAGAAGAAGGAAGCATACAAGCGCTGGCAGAAGACCCGGAGCCCCAAAGACCTCGCTGCCTACAAAAGTTGCAAGAGGCTCGCTAAGGCCTGCCGTAGCCAAGGCAAAGAACACGGAGATGGACGCCTTGTACGAGAAGTTGGAAAGCAGAAACGCAGAGAAGTTCGTCTTCAGACTGGCCAAAGCCCGGCATCGGGCTACTCAAGATATCAGGGTGGTGAAGAACGTAAAGAGCAACAACGGCGCCATACTGAGGAAGCCAGCCCAAGTTCGGAGGAGGTGGGAAGAGTACTTCAGAGGTCTTCTGAACGAGGAGTTCTCCCACGAGAACAACTCACGGGCAGAGGCCACAGCTGGTCCCATCGCACTCTGGACAGAGGATGAGGTTCGGCGTGCACTTGGGAAGATGAAGGTTGGAAAGGCAGTTGGTCCGGATGGAGTACCCATAGAGGCTTGGAAGGCCCTGGGAGAGCACGGGGTGAAGTGGCTCACCCCGCTTCCTGAATACGGTGACTGCCGAAGGGAGGATGCCGGATGCCTGGAGAACAAGCACTATCGTCCCCATCTTCAAGCAGAAGGGTGACGCGATGGACTGCTCCAACTACCGCGGCATCAAGTTGACTGCGCATACCATGAAGTTGTACGAGCGCCTGGTCGACTCGAAACTGCGGGACCTTGTCCAGATCTCCCAAACAGTTCGGGTTCATGCCCGAAAGGTCTACAACGGATGCCATCTTCATCGCTAGGCAAGTGATGGAGAAGTATCGCGAAAAGTGCAGGCCTTGCTACCTAGCCTTCCTCGACCTGGAAAGCGTTCGACCGGCTACCGCGAGCAGTGCTATGGAGCGTCGTGCCAGAACACCTCATCTCTCTGGTGAGGGATATGTACGAAGGAGCCAAGGCAGCTATACGCACCCCATACGGCCTAACGAAGGAGGTGGACATCACGGTCGGGGTGCACCAAGGGTCAGCTCTGAGCCCGTTCCTCTTCCTCCTAACACTAGATGTCCTGGTGAAGGGGCTCATGGAGGGACCACTGAAGACTATCCTCTATGCTGACGACGTCGCCTTGATAGCTGATAGTAGAGAGGAACTTCAAGCCAAGGTGCAGAAATGGCAGAAAGTCCTGACAGAAGGTGGGCTACGGCTGAATGTCAAGAAGACCAAGTTCCTGAGCTCCGAAGAGGGTGCAGAGGCCATGGTGAGACCATCGAACGAGTGGAGGACTTCCGCTACCTTGGGAGTGATCTGGCAGCCGACGGTAGTGTGGATCAGGCGGTGAAGGCTCGGGTCAACGCTGCATGGATGAAATGGAGGGAGTCCACTGGAATCCTCTGCGATCGAAGGTGCTCCAGAGCGCTCAAAGGAAAGGTGTACCGGACAGTGGTAAGGCCTGCGATGCTCTACGGCAGCGAGTGCTGGGCCTTGAACAAGAATCAGGAAAGACAGCTCCACTCTGCCGAAATGAGGATGCTGAGATGGGCCTGCGGCTGGACGCGGCTGGACAGGTTAGAAACGAGGACGTCAGAGCGGTCATGCAGACTGCCCCTGTCCAGCTGAAGGTACGGAGAACAGCGTCTGCGATGGTATGGGCATGTGCTAAGGAGGCCACAGGACCATCCGATAAGAACAGCGATGGACTTCGAAGTACAAGGCAAGCGACCGCGAGGAGCCCCGAAGAAAAGGTGGAAAGACGTAATCAAGAAGGACCTAGGTGAGGTCGCGGCCACGATGGAAGATGCCCTGGACAGAGCAAAGTGGCGACGGCTGACAAAAACAGCGGACCCTGCGACTGCGCGGGACTAACGCTAGGGAGAAGACACATTAAGCACTTGATCGTTGCCAGAAGGCTGTGCATCATGAAGTAAGGAAATATGAACAAGAATTGATAACTATCATCATTCTCAAAAAAAAATTATGCATACTCATTCTCATTGATTCAGGATTTTATTCCACAGGAGATGAGTCATACAATAATTTTCAGCTTAGGCAGAATCAATGTTTATTTACATGTGTTTCTCCGGTATTTCCGTGACTGGCCTTTCCCTATCACTATCTTGTCTAAAGTCAACGGTCACAGACTCCATCGGTCTTGGTAGGATCGCATAAAAGGTGAAGTTGTACACTTTAGCCAGGCAGTCAGTCCGCAATGAGAACGTCTGTAGTCTTCGCTGCCCTTGTTATCAGCATCTGGTGAGTAACTCTGCAATTTTCCTTCGGCTTTGTTTGTTCTATCGTACCTTTCAAATTGGCATCAGAGAGGCACACAAACTAGGCTGAACTGATCACATGGAACTTCAAAAAGATCCCAGCCAGATTTCGGTTCTTCTCCAAGAAGTGCCCTGATACCTGCAGGTCTAAGATGAAGAGATAAGCTAGAACGCCGCTGTCCTGCTTTGACGTTCTTACAGGAGTGAACTCTCAACCGTAAGCTCGTGGGTTTTTTAAAGGAGTCTGAGACACCATTGATTTTGGACACTTTGTCCCACTTTTTTTCAGATTTCAGTGGAGGCGAAACGTTTCGCTAAGTTTCCTTGTTTCAAGCTTGAACTGTACTCCTTACTTTCTTTCTTATCAACCCATAAAACATCTGATATGGCTCAGATAATATTTTTCAACGGTTCTTTATCCTACTCAGGTTTATTGATACATTCACTAAAATTCATTTTGTCTGCTCATCATACCTCAATATATATGTGGCAGATACCAGTGTCAGTCGTGGCATCCAGCTCACTTTAATACTTTTACGATTCCTCTTCATCGTCCTCCGGCGGCCCCCTGCATCCGAAATCTCAAACGTGCCAAGTGGCAACCACTACTATGACATCGATGGGAATGGAGGGAGTATTCTGATATTAAACGCGAAAGTACCAAAAATTGACGAACTTTATAAGACTCCTCTTCATTTTTGGAAGAAATTTCCAATGTTACAGTGAATTCCCGGTGAAATGGAGTTCGGAAGAACACTTTATTTCATCATCCGTACCAGAGCACTCGTTTGGACTTTCTATTACTAAGAATTAGATGCTCGGTACGTACTCCCTATATCCCACACATCCTGCCGATATCCAATCCAATTTTGCTCCTGATCGTCCATTCTGCAGTCTCTTCCTCCCTTAGGCCTCTTGGTTAAGAACCGGTTCGATTACTTGTCATGAGCGCTCTTTTTCTTACCTTCAACATTTGAGAGCACAGATCCTTTCCTCAAATCCCATTCCACCGAATTTTCTGCACACATTTCTTCCAAAGTTCTATGTATTATCAATGCAACCCTTTACTTCGAACCTGCAAAATGCGATCCTGATTTCACGAATCTCATAAGGGCAGATGGAGAGTTGCCCTTGATCCTGACACACGACCTTATGGATACCTTGCCTGCTTGCCAGACTCGCATTTGACCGAATACACTAGCAACAGAATCTTTTAAGGGTAGCGCTGGTTATCCTTAAGTGATTTGTGCCAGAAACATTCGTAATTGAAATGCTTGACAGCATCACGCCATTAGATTAGCTTGGCGATAGCTCTACAGCCTGAAACGTTAACCGCTGGAGGACAACAAATGGGAGCAGTGGTCAGTTATGGTGTACTTATTGGAAATTAGGAGTGAATCCACGCACCCGATGAGGACTGAGACTGATTGATAGGCCGCTTCAATGAATCTGAAAATCTCAAAGGGCGCAGGAAACAGCAGCTACCATAAGTATGTTGAACGAAGTTGCAGGATAGAGCAGCTGAAGACGTTCGTTCACCTTCCTTCAGAAGTGAAGGTGGCACTGCAACGCATCAGTGCGCTACGTCAAACCCCGATTTTTTGGCAACTCCATGGATTCGCAAAATCTGACCCTGGCTTCAGTAAAGAAGCTGGAGGTTAAGATTGGTCTTTAAAGGAAAAAAAAGCAGAACAAACTCCCGACCACGCCCCAATCAAGCATGTCTTCTATTTCAGCCATATTCCACCTCGGGATAAAGAAGGGGCGTGTGGACGAGTTTCACGAACCTAACTCCAGTTGCTCCAGTGCAATGCAATCGCTACCGCAACTGCGCCGCGCTTTTCTCGCAACGTCTGGCAGACGAGCACGGTAGGTAGGGCTTGTGAGGGAGGGTGTGGCTTGCGGTTCGAGAGAGCTTCCAAAGCCTTTGTCGCGCACTTTTAAGCCGAAGGGTGCGACCTCTACACTTGTCCGCCTGTCTACTTGATCGGGGAGGGAACAGGTGAGCGTGCCTAACCCCGAACCGCATGTAGCAGCGCTCCTTACTTCTCAATAACTCTAAATCCTCGGCAGCTCCACTAGGCTTCAACCTTCTGTTGAAACATGGAGCATCTTGGACACCTATTTCAGCGTTCGAACGGTGATTGTCTCAGAGCCCGTTAGAAACTGAAGGGTTCCCTGTCGTGAATGATTTATCTACTTTCAGCGGCCTGCAAGACAACATCTTGAACACTGGCGAGCCTATAACACTCACGATTTCGCCAAAAGTTTGGAATCTTTTGGAGACAAAAGCTGAAATAATCAGCAACACAGTCAAATCTATCGAGTTCCCTAAAAGAAAAGAGAAAGTATGTTCTGTTAGATTTGCATGTGAGAGTTAACCATTATGGTCAACAGTCACTTCTGTTTCTTGCTTATAGGTCAAGAAACTGTTGAAATATGAAGTATGGGACGGGCACTTCGAACGCTTCTCCGTGCCGAAAAACGGAATGTCATTCGAGAATATGAGCAATGGCGTCCATTTACGGGTTCTTACAACGCTTGTGAAATGATTACTTTATACTTTTCCGAGAACTAATTACATTGTTGCCAGGTGAAGGATGTCCAGTTCAGTGGTTCCGTCCATGCAAGATTATACATAGGAGGAAAGATTGGTCGCATACGTGTCACTGGTGATATTAAGTATGTTACGGACTATCTCATAAATTCGACGTCACAATTTACCTGCCATATCATTTTTGATTTCAGAGTGAAGAGTTCAAGTGCTGAGCTTGATGTCGCCTTGGCATGGAATGATTTCACTTTCACACCTACGATCTCGATGAAGTCGAATCTTCGCATTGACTTTACACACCATCTTCGGCACTTCAACCTCATCAGAAGCCACTTCCAGAAACTTGCTACACGTGCTGTTAACAAAAAAGTACCTGAAAAAGTAGGCCATTTGCTTGGAATATTAGCAGTTACCTAGGGAGGATGTTCTTCTAGTGATCACATTCAAGATCTTTCGATGGGTGGTGACAAAAGTGACAGGAATTGAGAATTCATAATTTCGGTGATCCCTCCAATACAGCATGTTAAATTTGGCATCAAAATTGAATGAGTTTTGAGTAACTTGTGGCCTGAAGACTGATGTTAGAGGACTGGAGGATTTGCTTGTATAGACTTCTTTCAAGCTGTGGCATTGGCAGCAAAATGTGGGCTCCTTGACCACGCTGCTTCTGGAAATATAGTAGTGACCAAAAAAGGCACTTCCTTCACTTTTGAGCCCGACTTATTAGCATTGTCCTGATCTGGAATTGGACGATTCCATTTAGCAACTGAAGACCACGCTCCTTTCTCGTGGACAACTTTATAATAGCCTTCTACACCATAGAAATTTCCCACGGGAACATTATGCACAGATCGAGGTTAGGGAAGTGATCGGACGATTTCGACCCTATCTGAACGCTGCCGGGAGAGGTCTTATTTAATCGCAGCTACTCTCTTATTAGCTATCCGCCACCAGTATACTAATAAAAAAATTTTGTAGCAGCTTTGAGGTCGTAGTATTACGGTATTTCTCTTCTTGAGCTCGACGGTGATGGCAGATGATGTCATCTCTGAGAGACGGTGAGGGCAGTGAAGGAGGAGTTTCGGCTACTTTTTAAGAGACTCTCAAAGGAATATTGCGCTGAGAGACTCCCATGGACTACGGTACCTGTGAGAGGTAAAAGCCTGCTGATATGTCATGAAAAGCTTCTTTACCGTTCCTGTGAAGGTTTATTTTACACTTCACTTTCGCAATCACGAAGCAGCAACCTCAGATGGGTCGCGTCGAAGAATTCATGTTGTGGTTGGGAAGAAGAGCCCACAAATTGCGCAGAAGTGCCGTTATCACGGCTCGAAAGTGCGCGACAATGGCGCTGGGGCTAAGTGTTAATGGCGGGCGTACGTACTTACGGATGGGACACCTCGCGCAAAATCCATGACTCGCGACGTGGATTACTTGTAGTAGCTAATTCAAAAACGCGCGGGTTAGTGAAGCGAGCAAGTATGTATAACTCGTCCGTTCCGCCCCTTCCGTATTCCAAAGGGGAGAGAAGTAATACTCTTCAATGGCTTCTCCTGAGGAATTTTGGTTCTTCGAAAGTTTTGCATCCACAAGTTCACTACTGACCGCTTATCACACCTATTTGATCTGGGGTTGTTGCTTCAAGTGGATAACCGCCCTGCATATTAGGGCACAGTGACTAGAGGTTCTATGCCAGCCCTCATAGGGATCGTGCATTGATGACAATAAGAAGGAACAGACGAGAAAATTACTTGTACGAATTATTCAAAAGCTAGGAATAGTGTTATTCGTTAGATTCCTGCCATAGACCATCACAAGTGTTGGCTCCATTTGTTTCTTGCGGGTCGCCACTAGGAAATCTTTTAGGCCCCTCATCCATGGCATAGCTATTTCACCATTGCATTATTTGTTCTTTTGCGTCATGATCTACTAGCTACAATACCGCCCCTAATTTCTGGTAAATCGACAGAATTCAGCGCACTAGTCCGCCGCAATCCGTCGCTTCGCCATAACTGCTGGTTGATGACGGTGTTATGTCCGCAGGTATTGCTGTTGGCAAGCAGAGACTCAAACTCCGAATTTTGCAAAAATAAGGCTAAAAATTCGAAGGAAAGCCGAAACGAACTAGACCATTGGATTCGCCTTGGCAATTGCTATCTAATGGTTCCAAACTCAAATCATTTAAACCATTTTTACAGCAGTTATGGCGAAGCGACGGATTGCGGCGGACTAGTGCGCTGAATTCTGTCGATTTACCAGAAATTAGGGGCGGTATTGTGTAAGGTTTCTTCTCCTCTCCTACCTCAAAGCTGGAATTTAATTCATTCCTTACGCGTCATCTAATAATTAGGACATGTATAGAGCCCTAACATGTATAGAGTAGGTCAAAATTATGAGGATCGCGTGCGCACTCGAGTAACGCTGTGCTTGGGAGGAGACTCGACTCAACCACTCAGTTTATTCGACACTCAACAATGAATCATACAGCCGGAGCGCGGATCTTATATAGCTGCCTCAGGGGGCGGTACCGGAAGTAGGCGTGAACCTCGCTGTGATTGGCCGGTTCTCCTTACAGGCGTTAACGTGATCACTGACGACGGCTCCGGAGTATCGATCGGCTAAGGCTATAGCGGTTGAAATGGATTGTACTAAACAATAAACTTTTACACAATCAACAGCAACAAACAAACATAGACACTTGTCTAGGATAACATGCCCGGCGGTGAAGAAGAGTCGTCCCGACTCTCCACTTCATCGGTGCCATCCACGGGAAGAGCTCGGCTGCTGGGTTCTATCCTTTCCAAATTTCCGATCACTCCTGGGCGGATACGCATGCGATTGTCCTCTGTACTGCAAACTCGTTCTCCTCCGCTTTGGGTCCTCGCTCGACTCCCTTGTATCTGATCCACGGGTGGCTGGTCCACGGAATGAGATGTTGAGATGGTGGCGGGCACGCTCTGGATCTGCGATGACGTAGAAGTTCGGCTTGAATTCGTCCCTGCGCCTCTTCGCTCGTGCAGCTTTCTCCGCTCGGCGCGCTTCCTTCAGCTCGTTTGAGGCGGCCTTGAACTCTCGCAGTCTCAGGATATCAGCTATCGTGACGCGCAGCTTCTCCAAGAACAGTACAATTTGTCTGCCATTGAACGGTGATCGCTTGAATCTTGGGTCTGTCCCAAGGCACATTGCGGGATGAGTATACGGTGCCGACTCCAAAACTTGGGTGTAGTGATCCCGGACGATTGCTTCAAAACCTCGGTCGGCAGTCGTCATAAAGCGTACGAACTCGGAACATACTCGTCCCATTTTAGACCATTCCGTCACATTACTGTGCTCATAGGGACGGGGGAAGAATAGCAGCGTCCCGCCTGGCTGCAGTTGGCGCTCCAGCGCTATAAGGACCTGCCTCATCGATCTTCCCGACGGCATTATATCTGGC